ACATAATATATACAGTATAGCATTTTATACATATGCTCCACCTATCAAGGACAGTCAGATAAGAAAACTCTTTAAGGAGCATCTTTCCCATGGGAACCTTCACCTCACTGCAACATAATAAAATAACATTGGTCTATTCTGATGAAGCATGCAGGGTGAAACAGTAAAATATCACATTTCCATCACAATACTTTACTTAAGTATTGCTAGTTGTTGATACTTTTCCTTTCACTGGTGAGGTTAAACAGCTGAGTTTCCCTGCCAGTCAGTCCGTCGGATGAGGGACGAAACATCTTCTAGTATCTTCAACCAAGTCCAGTTACCCTTGACTTTAACCTTCCCTACACCACACTAGGCAAAGTTTATTTGTACAGCTACACGAGGATTTAAAGTTCTTTCCATAAAACTTATAGCAACACAGGGAAATATAAAAAAGACATAATACAATTTAAAAAAAGAGCCAATTAGAAAACAGGTTAATTTACTTGATAGTTTACATTTGTGTTTCCTGTCAGACTTTGTGTGAGTGAAATACAACGTGCACAATGCACGTGCATTTAAGCAAGAATCTTTAGAAAGAAGAAAATTAACATCATGCTGGAGGACTTGAAACTGATCACTGAGATCAAAAACTCATCAGGAAAGTGTTTACCAGGGGCGTTGCTAGACATCAAGCTCTACTGGGGCGCAGTCCCCCCCCCATCCCCCATGTACATCTTTAATTTAGAATTTCTTTTTGATTGAAGTGTATGAAATGTGTCAGTGTGCGCCTCACCAGCTTCCCTTGCTTAGCCCATTATTATTGGCTGTGTCATGTCAGAAAGGGCTTCGACTGGAGCATAAGCACACACACCTACGGTACCGCCTAAGAAACATTTTGCTACGGGGCCCTCCAACCTGACTTGTGAGCCACTGCTGCACAGTCACACATGACACTGCAGCACTCTCACTACAATCCTCCTCCTTTAGAACAGTCTGTCTCTGGAATAAGCCTGAATAGAAACCTCTTGTAGAAACATCCAGTGCTGGTTTGATTGGACCTCTGCGCACTAACTCAGACCTCATGAAGTCTGATAAGACTGGGGGCCGATCTGCTGCTCATGTGGTGGAGCAGCAACTGTTCCATCAGGGTCTGAGCTGCTTGTATCCGATGCTGGCTGTACATCTCTGGCTGTGCTCGTACTGGCTGATGATCCAACATTTCCTCTACTGACATATTTAGACAGAGCCCCTTTAAATGATATTATGGGACTGTTGCACCGCTCAGCAGGACCCTTCTCCTGGAATGCGTGAGTTTCATTTCGTGCACGCAAGTATGAACGCATGTTCATTACATTGTGATTTAGTTGAAACTAAATCAAACTGTTTGATACATACACCAAATACAGAATACCGAAAATACAATGCAATCATTAATGGTGACACTCCCATGCTGATTTTAGCCAAGGTTTGAGGCTGGCCTTAAACACTGCAAAACCTGAGTTTCTAATGTTTGTGGGAATGGAATTCCACTTCCCCACTACTTTAGCCAAGAAGGCAGATTGACCAAAGGTTGTCTTTCTAAATCACCCCTTGTAGATGCTCTGGTTCTGCTGGCACTGCCAGAAAATGCTCTGCATCCTCTAAGAGGAGGGGGTGCGAGATAATGAATAACTTTAAACATGAGACATGCATCTGAATAAAGTAAGAAATTATCAAAATTCAGAAAATTGTATTTTTTCAAGATGGTACAATGATGATAATCCTCAGGCTTTTCATCCAGTACTTTTAAAATTTGTTTGTGGAGCGAATACATAGGCTTGAGCATAGTCACACCTGCCTGTGACCAGGTGCTTCTACAGTCAGACAGATGGGGGAAAATCTTGGTGCAGCAGACAGTGACAAATGGTGTCTAAACAGCCTTGATGACCCTACAGAAAGGCAGAATTGTGTCAATTATAATGCCTAAATATTTAACATGTGTCACAGATGTAATGACTTCACCGTTAATTAAAATATCAGCATTAATTGAATTATTAATCCTCGCTGTAAAATACATGCAAACTGTTTTACTTAAATTAAGGTCAAACATGAATGGAGGAGAAACATTTTGCGCTCCAAGAGATTCTATAATGATATAAAGTGAAAGACAGCAGTTTGTGATTTGATATGACTGTGGGGTTATGATGGGTAAACTGTATTGTGTGAAGCTTTAGTGATGTCACTGAACAATATTAGGTAGATATGAAAAAACCTGCTCCTTTAATAACCTGATCTCTCAAACAACAGGTTTCACTCACAGAATGGAAGGTCTCTACATTAACAGCAGCTCACAGGACCAAAGCTACGATTACAGCGACACCACCTCCAACTACCAGGATCACATCACCATCAGCGACTGTGATTTCAGCTACTTTTATATCATCTTTACATTGGTGAATCCCATAGTCATTGTTGTCGGCCTTCCTCTGACCCTGGTGGCCGTCTATGCTCTTTGTTCTATGGTACGTACATTCTGACTGAGAGTTATTTATTTCAATTCAATTCAATTCAATTTTATTTATATAGCGCCAAATCACAACAACAGTTATCTCACAGCGCTTTTCATAACAGAGCAGGTCTAGACCGTACTCTATGATGCTATTTACAGAAACCCAACAGTTCCCCCCAAGAGCAGCACTAGGAGACAGAGGCAAGGAAAAACTTCAACCACAGATCCAGACTCCACAGCTCCAGAGCCAGAAAACCTGCAGGAAGTGATAGGAGGAGAGAGGAGAGGGACGAGAAAGCACAAGACTACCGGAAAGGGGAGAAGTTGTGTTAGTAACATGCAATAATGGGATGAGGTTGCATACAGAGGGAGAGAAAGTAGAGGAGAGAGGAGCTCAGTGCATCATGGGAAATCCCCCGACAGTCTAGGCCTATAGCAGCATAACTAAGGGATGGTTCAGGACTCACCTGAGCCAGCCCTAACTATAAGCTTTATCAAAGAGGAAAGTCTTAAGCCTACTCTTAAATGTGGAGATGGTGTCTGCCTCCTGAACCCAAACTGGAACCTGGTTCCACAGGAGAGGAGCTTGATAGCTGAACGCTCTGGCTCCTAGTCTACTTTTGGAGACTCTAGGAACCACAAGTAACCCTGCATTCTGGGAGCACAGTGCTCTGGTGGGGTAGTAAGGTACTATGAGCTCTTTAAGATAAGATGGTGCCTGACCATTAAGAGCTTTGTAGGTAAGAAGAATGATTTTAAATTCTATTCTGGATTTTACTGGAAGCCAATGCAGAGAAGCTAAGACAGGAGAAATGTGATCTCTTTTCCTGGTTCCTGTCAGAACACGTGCTGCAGCATTCTGGATCAGCTGAAGAGTCTTAATGGACTTTTTAGAGCAGCCTGATAAAAAGGAATTGCAGTAATCCAGCCTAGAAGTAACAAATGCATGGACTAGTTTTTCTGCATCATTTTTAAGAGTATGTTCCTGATTTTCGCAATATTACGTAGGTGAAAAAAGGCGGTCCTTGAAATTTGCTGTCTGTGTCCTGTGTCTGTCCTACAGTCTGTCTGTCTGTAAATGATCTGGATCTGGTTTGGGGGCTAGGTGTCAGGGGGCTGGGACAAAGGCTTGGAATGATCTATAACCTGACAGGAATAATTGACTCCAGAATTCAAATGTCCATGAAGCTGATTGGACCCTAAACACATGCAGTTTCCATGTGTGGCTCCATTCCAGCCTTCTCTTAAACTGTTGAGCTTAATGACTCTATCAAGTTCTTTGCCTCCAGTTCTTATTTGTGCGATCCTCCCTGAAATGCTGATTCAAGGAGGAGAGATTCTCACCTTGCAAACACAAACATGAGCCTCAAACTGCGACTCCGGTCTGGATAAATCCAGCTCATTTTTTTTTATTTATTTAAACCTTTATTTAACCAGGAAAATCCCATTGAGATTACTAATCTCTTTTCAAGGGAGTCCTGGCCAAGACAGCGGCACAGATCACAACAATTCAGTACATTTCAGACAATTTCATAACAATTTCATAAGACTATTTAAAAACATTTACAAACCATAGATTTCATTTCCAAACCTTTGAGCAAGAGTTTAAATTGGCCTATTGAAACCAGTTCCTTTAATTTCCAGAATTTTTACTCTTTGAGTAAACTGTGGTTTACAGAGTCAAAGGCTTTTGACAAATCAATGAAAAGCACTGCACAATGTTGCTTATTGTCAAGAGCTGTTGAGATATCGTTGATCACCTTCAATGTTGCTGTTATGGTACTATGACCTTTCCTAAAGCCTGACTGGAATTTGCATAAAATGTTGTTGGAATACAAAAATTATTTCAACTGTTCATTATTAAAGATTCCAAAATTTTTGATAAGATACAAAGTTTTGAAATTGGCCTGTAGTTATTAACAATTTTTGGATCACCACCTTTGAATAATGGTGTGACAAAAGCTGATTTCCAGATTTTGGGTATTTGCATAGTGGTCAAACTTAAGTTAAAAATATCAGTCAAAGGTTTTGCTATTAAATCAGCTGCAATTTTTAGAAAATACGGATCAATTAAGTCAGGTCCTTGTGGTTTACGTGCATCCAATGATTGTAGTGCTTTGCGGACTTGACACAAAGTAAAAGGCTGGAAACTAAATGTTGATGCATCAGAGGGTTGTTCCGGAACAGTCCCAGTGTTGCTTGAATTTATGGAGGGTGTAGATGAAATAAAATGTTGGTTGAAACAATTTACCATTTCAACTTTATCATAAATATTTGATGAGTTATGGACAATATATTTTGGCAAGACCTGTGAGTTATTTTCTGCAGAGAGAGATTTTATTGTTTTCCAAAATCTTTTTGGGTCATTTAGACTATCAGTTGTAGTTGACAAGTAGAATTTAGACTTGGCATTTTTAATTTGGGAGGAACTTTTATTTCTTAATTTTCTGAAATTATCCCAATCGCATTTTAAACCAGTTATTCTTGCTTTCGTCCACGCTAAGTTCCTCTCATGTAAAGCATTCGCCAAATCTGGTGTAAACCAAGGATTATCTCTACCTTTAATTCTAAATTTCTTAAAAGGAGCGTGCTTATTAACAATAGCCATGAAACACTCATAGAAAAATGACCAGGCTGTTTCTACATCTGGAATAAGGTCAATTCTGTTCCATTGGCACTTAGAAAGGTCATGGTAAAATGCCTGTTCATTGGAAAGGTTTAAATCTCTTTTTATAATGACTCATGGTTTCTTTTATCCATTTTGGTATTTCTAACAGTGGCCACGATACAGTGGTCACTGAGATCATTACAAAACACCAATACAGAACAGTATTTATGTGGGGCATTTGTTAAGATCAGATCAATCAATGTTGACTTTGAAAACACTTATTATATGGACGAGTAGGGATGCAATTAATTGTGTTAGATTTAATTGATCACATACAATTTTGAAATCATCAGAATTTGGGCTAAGCCAGTCCCAGTTTAAATCTCCAATTAGTATAGTTTCATCTGAATCGAGCATAAATAGAAAATCCTTTAGTAATTGGAGTGTGTTAGAGGTGGCTGAAGGAGGCCTATAACATCCCATAACATTACATGTAAACCCTTGGCAATTTCAACCTTTAGCATTAAAAGTTCAAATTGTTTACAGAGAGATTCAGCTTGTAATAAATCTACATGGAGAGATGTGTTTACATAAATGGCAATTCCCCCACCTTTAGCTAGTCTATCAACACGATAGATTTGAAAGCCATCTATGCAAACATCATTGTCAGATATAGATTTGTTTAGCCATGTTTCAGAAAAAAAACTATATCTGCTCCTGTTGACCTTACCCAGATTCGAACTTGGTCAATTTTAGGTAGAAGAATGCAAACATTAAGATGAATTATTTTAAGGCCAGGTAAGAACTTAAAGTCAGATGGGGTTTGAACCTCTGGGCCAGGGTTTGGTTGTATATTTCCAGATAGTAAGAGTAACAGAATAATTAGTCGTCTTTGGTATCCAGAACGTTTGGGAATTGGTTTTTAGACACAATCTCAATTGAAAGTAACATAATAGAGGTTCATTAAGTGAAAAATAATCATACAAAATTAGGAAACTAAGGAGTTGTTTTATGACCCAAGGTTGTAGGACACACGAAATTTTTTAGTTTTGATATTGGCATTTTATACGTAGAAGCAGTTGATTTGTTATGATCGTAGTTCACATTAACTCGGATATGTTCATAAGTATGGGCACCCAGAGTCTTTCCAAAATTACATGCAGACAATTTATCATGACTTTTGTAAGAATTGTGACAAATGAGCAGAAGGCACAGCAATACACTTGGATATTTAAATTGGATATGCATATTTAAATTGAAAGTCATAGCAGGTAGGATCAGCAATTTTGGTATTGGAATTGCAGTCAAGAGCCAGCAGCCAGGCAGTGCAGGCCCAAGGTGGAAAAACAGCTAAAAGCCAGGCAGAGCAGGCCCAGGGTGGATAAACAGCTAGCAGCCAGGCAGTGCAGGCCCAGGGTGGAAAAACAGCTAAAAGCCAGGCAGAGCAGGCCCAGGGTGGATAAACAGCTAGCAGCCAGGCAGTGCAGGCCCAGGGTGGATAAACAGCTAGCAGCCAGGCAGTGCAGGCCCAGGGTGGATAAACAGCTAGCAGCCAGGGTAGAAAAGCAGCTGTGGTGCAGGCCCAGGGTGGATAAACAACTAGCAGCCCGGCAGTGCAGGCCCAGGGTGTGGAATCTGCTAGCAGCCAGGTGGTGCAGGCCAAGGTGAGGAAACAGCCTGCAGGCAAGTCGCACATGTGCAGAGTCTAATTTAGAGTCCAAAATGTAATATAAACTGTAATATAAAAAGCTCAAGAAAGGCTTGACTTTAAAGCTAAAAGTGACTTTATTTCAGACTAAAATTTCACATTACAACACATTAAAAAGCAAGACATGCTTCTCAGAGCAACACAGCACTCTGTTGATCTGCCGCCATCTTGGATGGGGTTTGAGCCAGAACGCTTCATATCTGTGGCTGAAAAACTGCTGCAGAAGCTGCAGGAAATCTGGCCCTTAGTTTGTCCTGCACTGATTGGCCAGTGGGTCATATCTGAGATTTCTGTTGGATGAAAAAAGTCAGAAATGGCTCTGACAGCAGCTGGGCAGAGCAAGATGACAGATTTGGGAGGAGGTGGACTTCACAACATGTTTCCAACTGCTTGTTGACTTTTACCAATGTTTTCCTGCAGGTGAGAAGTGATCATGTGCTCCATACTCATCAACCTCCTCATTAGTGACCTGATTCAGTTCTGCAGCATGATTGTTGATGTGGCGCCAAATGTGGATGGAGGATACGTTACATCTTCTTTTATATTACCACTTCTTCTGATGCCAGTGTTTACTTCATGGTCTGCATCCCTGGAAAGGTATATTGTCTATCCAGTATGTGTGGAGCTCCTTCTGTGTCTGAACATTATATAGTTTATAACTCTGAAGCTCTCAAAGACTTTGTGTCCATCTTGTATTACAGGTATTTGGTCATCGCCCACCCACTGTGGTACCGCTTCAGACGAACCATCAGACCTCTGTGGTGCTCTGTGTCCTGGTCTGGGTCCTTACTGTTGTTTGTTCCATCCTTAACTATGTCTCTTATTATTATTCCGGTCTCAGGAGACATTTCTAATCGTTGCCGCCCTCTCCTCCTTCCCTTCCCACTGTTAATATTCTTTGGTTGGGACCCTCAAAGCCCTGTCTGCTTCCATCTCGGTCCCCTCTGATGAAAAACGACGAATTGTGAGAATTGTAGTTCTGGTGCTGCTTATTTACACTCTGCTGTTCCTGCCCAGAATCATTTGGTTCCTGGAAGTAAACTATGACCTGACCTCAACCTGTCTACCATCTTCATTAGGTTGAGTCCTCTTGCAGACTTTTTGTAGTCTCATGAGGAAAGGGACCAAAGAGAAGCTTTTGGCCTCTGTGTGTTGCTGCAGAATGGACAGCAATGATATCAGCAGTCCATCAGTATGAATGATGACAACATTTCCACAGTCAGCTTCATGTAGGCAGAGAAAGAGGGAGAGAGAGAAAGGGGAGGAAACAGGAGGAGAAATGGAGGCCAATAGAAAGGATAGAGACGAGACAGATCCTGTTATCTACTGAGACCATTTCCAATAAGACACCTAACTGTAGAGAACAGGAAGCACTGTTTGGACTCTGCTGTGGGAGAAGTGGTGCTGGGAAATGTTTTGGTCAACTTGCTGGTTCACTGTGATGGCTTCAACACATGGAAATAAAATGTGTTTTATTAGTTGGAGCTGGAAGTTGTGTCTGTCATTTTCTCCTTTAATCCCAGAAGCAAAGCAGATATTATTTTAGATGAACTGAGCTCATTCTAGCCACCTCGCTGTCTTCTTCCTAAATCTTTATTTGGACTGTGTTTGGATGTTTAACACAGGGAGAGCATCTCAACACGTCTTTAGCACTTTGTACTTTTTAAGTGTAATTTCTGCTGTTTTAGGGTAGGCATGCTGCTGTTTAGGATGGGATTCAGAGCAGCTGTTTTGCAGCAGCTGTTGTGTTTTGGCAATCTGGAGAAAATCTTAAACCACAGTTTATGTCAGTTTCTATGAAATTGTACATTTTCTGGAAATCCAATAAAAATCAGTTGTAGACCAAACTGTGAATGTTTGTCTTTGAGCAACTCAGTGAATTAAAAGCTGACAAATGAAGGTTCACAAAATCTCTGCTGGTTGACAAATCTCTATTGTCTATATGAACATAAAGCCCAACCTGCTGTTACCAGGGAGGCATCCTGTACTTTCTGAAGTTTTCAGACTTTTTTAGATAAGAATTTGGGGCAGAAATGATAAAGTGTGACAGGGACAGTCACAACAGATCAATATCTAAATGAAACTAAAACTCTGTAGACGGAGGTCTGGTGAGTCATTGTTTATTAACA